GTTTAACGTTGGCCGAAGCAGGTGACGCAAATGATCTGGCCAAGATCCGTTTGAAGTTCAAGGACTATTGCATCCCGAGAACGAACGTGACGTACAAAAACAGTACAAAAACCAGGTGAGTCCATAGACCATTTTGTGACTGAATTACGCACGCGAGCAAAGGCGTGTGAATTTGGGATTTTGCAAGACGGTTTGATCCGTGATAGAGTTGTTTGTGGGATACCAAGTAACACACTGAGACAACGCCTTCTGCGTGAGGAGAAGTTAACATTGGCGAAATCCATAGACATTTGTAGGGCGGAAGAGGCCACCCCTTCACAAGTTGGTCAGTCGAGTGGCGAAGCAGCAGGTGCTAGTGGTAGTTGTACATCGTGGGATGCTGTATACAAGCGACAGCCGAAATCTAGTGACGAGTCAAAAGGACATAACTCTCCCAACAAAGAAGTGAAAAAGGATAGTTGCAACTTTTGTGGGTACAGCCAGGCACCGACCAAATGCCTGTCCAGCCTATGATAAACAATGTATTAGGTGTGGGAAAATTGGACATTTTATCAAATGTTGCCCAAACTCAGACAAACGCAAGCAAGGACAGAAGGTTCATGCAGTGGAGACTGAGTATGACATTGACAATGAACAGTCTGACGAGTTCTTTGTTGATACTGTGAACACAGCTAACACATCACAGAGTTGGATAGTTCCATTAGACGTTAATGGTACTGTATTACCTATGAAGTTGGACACTGGTGCTAATGCCAATATCATTAGTGAACATGACTTTTGCTCCATAAGACGTAAACCCAAGTTGCACACAAGCAAAGTGAAATTGACAGCTTATGCTGGTCATGATGTGCCAGTCAAGGGACAATGTATCATGAACATTGAACACAAGGGGAAGGTAAACAAAGCACTGTTTATCGTGACGCAAGAGCCTGTTCATCCAATTCTAGGACTTCAAGAATGTGGGAAATTGAGATTAGTCCGACGTGTTTGGCAAGTGGATGCAGAGAATCAGGAAGACACAAATACACAGATTCTGAACAGAGGCAATCAGTGAACACAGAATCACACAAGAGAAAGACTTCAGGTTTCTGTGACAGTGTACGCACAGAATATGCAGATATATTCAAAGGGTTAGGTTGTTTGCCCGGAATACACAAGATTCGTCTTGACGATGCGGTGACACCTGTTGTGGAACCTTGCAGAAAGGTACCATTTGGACTGCATGATAAACTCAAAGAGGAACTTGACAGAATGGAATCTCTTGACGTGATTACAAAGATTGGCGAGCCGACAGAGTGGGTCAGCTCACTGGTCATAGTGCATAAGAAGGCAGAACAAATTCGTGTTTGTCTAGATTCCAAGAACCTCAAGAAAGCCATACGGCGAGAGCATTTTAAACTTCCGACCAGAGAAATTATGTCAAAGTTTGCTGGAGCCAAAGTATTCACGAAGTTGGACGCATCCAGCGGGTTTTGGCAGCTGCGACTAGATGAGGATTCATCCAAGGTATGCACATTTAGCACACCATTTGGGAGATATTGCTATCTCCGTCTACCATTTGGAATATCCTCTGCC